TGTTTTTTAATATATGTATATAAAATGGAGTACTACTCAGTGATAAAGAATGAGAAACTAGAGACATTTATAGCTAAATGGAAGCACATGGAGGCAATAATCTTAAGTGAAATAAATAGGACGTTTATGTGTAAATACTGAATAGTTTCTCTAGTGTGAGGAACTGAAAGTATAAATGAGGAGTAAAAGGTATAATACATAATGTGAAATAGGAAAAAAAAGGTTCAAAGAGGAAGGGGCAGTGAGAGGGGTAGGGGAAAAGAAAGAAGGGAATGGAATTAATATGAGAAAAAGAAAAAATGGAAACAAAACCTGTAGATAGTGAGGGATGGAAGGGTTGAAGGGAGTGCAGGGGAATGGGGAAAATAAGAATCAAGATGGATTATGTAAGGGTGCAAAGTTCCAATTATGAATTTCATATTGAATACCTTAAATGTACCAATAAAATTAATTTTTTAAAAAACTAGACCTATAACTGTCACTATGCACTAAACTAAAATTGAAATGGATTAAAGATCTAATTATTAAAACAGAAACACTAAACCTGCTATAAGAGATGTTAGGTAGAACTACTGAAGACATTGGTATAGGAAATGTTTCATGAAAAAAATCTCAGATGCACATGAACTAGCACAGTCAACAAATGGGATGCCTTCTTATTAAAAAGTTTCTACACAGAAAGAGATACCATTAACAGTGTGAACAGGCAACCCACAATGTGGGAAAAAAATTTTACCAGCTGTTCATCAGACAAAGGTCTACTATTAGAATATAAATTTAAAGACACAACAAAAATGGGCATCTGAAATGAGCAAACATTTCTCAGACAAAGTTGTACAATAGCAAATAAACATATGAAAAAATGTTCAACATCACTGGTCATTCAAAAATGCAAATGAAGACCACAGTGCTGAGGTTTCACCTCACCCCAGAAAGAATGACTGCCATCATGAAATCAATCAATAACAAATTCTGGCAGGGCTGTGGGGAAAAAAGAACCCTTCTCCATTGCTGGTGGGAGTGTAGACTGACTCAACCATGGTGAAATTCAGTATGGAAATATCTCAAAGGAAGTAGGATTGGAAATCCCAATTGTCCCAGCTATTCCCTTGCTGGGTATCTTCACAAAAGAATAAAAAGAATCATACCACAGCAATATATGTGCACCAATGCTTATAGTTACACAGTTTAGTGATAGCTAAAACTTGGAAACAGTCCTAGTTTCCCTCAACTGAAGACTGAAAAAAAAAAAGAAAAAAGAAAATGTGCTGATTTCTTTAAATAAACTGGAGTATTACTCAGCCATAAAGAATGAGAATCTAAAGACATTTATAGTTAAATGGATGCACATTGAGGTGATACTCCTAAGCAAAGTAAATAGGACACACATTTAAATATCGAATAGCTCCTTTGGTGTAAAAAACTAAAAGTGTAAATAAGGTTCAAATTAAATAAATAAGTCTCACATGTGTAAACGCTGAATAGTTTCTCTGGTGTGAAAAACTATAATGGTGCATAAGATCCTAATGAGATAATTGACCATGTGAAATAGGAAGAAAAGGGCTAAAGGTGTAGGAAAAGTGAGAAGGATAGGGGAAGGTAATAAGGGAAAAGAAAAAAAATGATAAAATGAAAAAATGGAAATAAAGTGTCTGTAAATGGGGAGGGGAGGAGGGGGTGAAGGGAGGGCAGGAACAAGGGGGAAAAATGATAATCAAGACCTGTCATGTAAAGGTACAAGATCCCAATAATGAATGTAACTGTACTGTATACCTAAAATGTACCAATAAACTCAATTTTAAAAAATAAGGTTCAAATTGTATAATTGATAACGTGTAATAGGGATAATAAGGCTAAAGGAGTAGGGGAAGTAGGAAGGGTAGTGGAAAGGAAAGAAGAGAAAAGAAAAAATATGAGAAAAGAAAAAACTAGAAACAAAGTCTTTGTAAATAGAGAAGGGTGAAGAGGTTGAAGGGAGGGCACAAGTATAGGGAAAAAATAAGTGCCAAGATATATCATGAAAAGGTACAATGATCCCAATGATGAATATAACTGTGCTGTATACCTTAAAAGTATCAATAAACTAAATGGAAAAAAGAATTAAAATATCTTTGTAAATAGGGGACGGTGAGAGGGTAAAGGGAAAACAGGGGTATAGGGAAAAAATGAAAACCAAGATATGTCATATAAAAGTACAAGATCCCAGTGATAAATATAACTGTACTTAAAAGGTACCAATAAACTCAATGAAGAAAAAAAAGCATAAAAATAAATAATAGGACACTCGTGTAAATGTTGAATAGTTTCTTTGGTGTGAGAACCTAAAAATGTAAATAAGGACTAAAAAGTCTAGTAGATAAGGTGAAATAAGAAGAAAAGGCACAAAGAGTAAGGGGACATGGGAGGGGTAGGGAAAAGGAATTAATTAATATAAAATTTAAAAATGGAAACAAAGTCTTTGTAAATAGGGAGGAGTGAGGGGTTGAAGGGAGGACAGGGGTATGGGGAAAAAATAATAACCAAGATAGATTACATGAAGGTACAAGTTTCCAGTGATGAATGTCATTATATTGTATACCTAAAATATACCAATAATTAATTAAAATAGAAAAGAAACCCTGCTCATGTTCAGTTAAACATCTCAGGCATAAGAATGGCTCCAAGTTGCAGTCATGTAGGACATCTTTTGTACCAAAGTGTACATCAAAACTTTTTTAAAGAGTTGGATGTTACATCTTTTGGTAATCTAACAAATACCGTTTATTGAGTATCTGTTTGCTGGTAAGTGTACTACTTCTAGTCTTCTCAGTGATCCTGCAATGCACAAGCCATTATCTCCATACTACAGAATAGGAAAGAAGCACAAGAGAGATGAAGTAATTGCTCACATAGTGAGTGAGGTTTTCAAAGCTTTTGTTTATATCCTCTTTAACATAGTTTTTAAAAGTATAAATCAAGCCAGAGATTTAGCTCAGTAGTGCCACAGCCTGCCTCACAAGCACAACGTCCTGAGTTTGATCCCCAGTACCAATAGATTAGATAGATAGATAGATAGATAGATAGAGATAGATAGATAGATAGATAGATAGATAGATAGATAGATAGATAGATAGATAGATGTATAAGTCATGACATTGTCAGGGGTAACAGTGTACCATAAAAACTGGAAGTAGTGAGTTAGACAACATTTAAGTATCTTTTTGTTGTAATTGATAGAAAAAATGCATCTTGGACTTGGAATTGTGTGTATCAGCACTTGTCACTAGGCTGGCAGCAGAGGGGCAGAAATAAGCACACAGGGAGAGATGTGAGCAAAGTGTTCAGATTTACATTTTGATGAGAGGAATCAAAGTGTCTTCTAGTTACACTGTGGAAATACCTTAATAATTTAGTGGGAATATTCCTCCTTGCTAATATTTTAATAGAAACATCTGATAACTCTCAGACACATGGCATGGTTGCTTTATGTCTGTTGCTTTATGTCTCTTTTTAAACTGAGCAGTAAGGAAATTAAGTACTGTGATTGTAACTGTCAATACTTCTATTTGGTGGCCTGTTGCCATTTTTATCTGCAGTGAAATTTTTGTTCCCAAGAAAGGCAGGATTACAATTTCTTTCTAACAAATTGAGTTGGTGTAGTGTGCTCTTAGTTATCAAAAATACTCTTGTACTTTGGGATTTTGAATTGATGAATATTCATGATGTGTGGAAAAGTACAACACACACTGTACAAACTCAATCACACAAAATAGCATAGCATAAGTGTACACACAGGACCTAGAAAAACACATCCAGCTAAGCTGTTTATGAATGAGAATGACTTTGTTCTTTACTTCTTGTGTTTTTGTTTCCTGTAATGCACATATTAACTTTAAAAAAATTATTTTAAAATTCAAAAAGTATAAATCATGACTTATTATGGCAAAAGGTAAGTTGAGACATTGTTATCTTATACAACACAAGATTGTAAAGAATACAGAATGTTAGAGCATATTATTTTATTTAAGAATGGCAAGTGTTCATTTAGAATGTATGTGCAAACATATACACAAGCAAATTTAAGTAATCATGAGGCCAAATGTTTTTGGTATTTAAGTTGGACAAATATTCCAGGTCTTCAACTACAAATAATTCTTCTTACCACAAATAATTAAATAATAAAATTTATTTGAATTTTAATAATAGTGATTATCATTTATTTTATAACATTTACTATAGACTCTTACTATTGCCAAACACTGACAAAAGTTTTTATAGGTGACCTTGGGTTACTTTTATTTATTTATTTTTTATTTTTTTGGTACCAGGGATTGAACTCAGGTCCTTGCGCTTGCAAGGCAGGCCACCAAACCACTGAGCTAAATCCCTGGCCCCTGGGTTACTTTTATAACAAGGCTGTTATTGTCCCCATTTTACAGATTAGAAAATGGGGCTCACACAAATGTTAAGTATATTGTTGAAGTATACACATTCAACAGCAGAGGTAGGATGTAACCACAGCTGTCTGAGACAGAAGAGCCTTGTACTCCTAACCACTTCACTCCACTCATGGATGAGCTGGTGTTAGGAGAAGAAGGTTGATGTTAAAAAGTTTTCACAGAAATGCCCTTGTAAAAGACTCGAGAAGAGGTGTGGTGAGTGGAATAAAAGATGCACAAAATGGAGTGTGCATTGTTAACTGTGGCTGTGTTTTGGTGGGCAGGAGTCTGCCCTAACTTTAGTGTTCTGGCTCTCTCAGAGCCAATTGAGGGTGCTGCAATCAATCTGTCTGGATTCACAATCTGGTTTCACCACTTACAATGTGGCAAAAGTTACTTTGGCCCAGTTACTTAGTACTTACTTCACTGGTTATTTTGAAGAATCAAATGAGGTTATCTCTGTGTTGCACAGTACTGACATATAGTAAATTATCTCTAAGTGTCAATTTATATTTCCTATTTATATTTCCTAGCTACTCCTGTGTTGAGTAAAAAAAACTTACAGTTAATGACTGGTCTTACCTTCTAGAAACACTGGAGATGTCAGTTCTACCTGGAGAGATCCACCCTGTCTCAAGTCCTTAGTAGCTATCTTTTGCCACTCCATAGACTCCATTTCTTCCATGTTAGCCAAAGCCTGGCTTAATTTCAGAGATTCCTGAACTCTCTTATAAAGAAGAATGTTGTCTTTTTTGTCTGTAGATTCTTTTCTGTGCCACCGGCTTTTGATGAACCGGGTCTGAGTCTAAGAGAAGAGTGTGGAGTAAAACAGTATTTGCTACAGAGATTAGATCAAAAATTAGTTTTATAATAACTGAGCCTTCCACACACACCCCTTTTATTAGACTTATGCTGATTTTCTCAATCTAAGTGTTGTTCTCCTTTGCAAACTCTACCCCCTACCCTGCTCTTCTAACCAAACCCATTTTTTCTAAGGATGGATTTCTAGATGAATGTGATTATTCAAAGTCAGTTCATACAATGAGTTTTTTCCTTAAGAGATTTATCTTTAGAACATGAGGGACCAAGCTAATCTCCAGTTTTTTTCCAGGAAAAAGTCACTGTTTCATTTACATGAACAAGCATGTCTTCTAAAATAACAGTACTCTCTCTTCTTCCCTAAACTCTATGGCCCTGCTGCAGCCCAATATCTCTCTTACTGTAAAAATGAGAAACCAGTAGTCCTCTTCATCCAGGAATTTATCATACCAGGGGCTGAGCATCTGCAATCAAGACACAACATAAACATCATGAGGTGGGTGCTCAGCCTGCTGCATCTCTCAGCTTGCATCCACCTTGGAGCAGAAGGCCTAGATTCTCTAAATTGGAGATCTAATAGAACCACAGACATCAACTAACACCAACCTGTAGGCATTCTTCTATTTTTCTGAAGATAGCTGCTCACACAGCTGTGTCTCAGAAAACAGTAATAAATATATATGTGTATATTTAAAAGATACAAAAATAACTTATGGAACAATTACATAACTTCTACATACTACTTGGTTCCTTTTCAAGTACTGTCTTATTTGATTCTCAAAATGGCTCTGAATGTAAGGCAATACCTTTTGGTGTCTCCACCCAAATATCCCACTGGAAGGCCCAACACATTTGTAAATAATACAGGAAACAAACAAGAGTTAGGGCTTAACCTCATTTATTTATTTGTATTCTCACTTTATTTTACTTATTTATTTGACAATCATTTTCTGAATTCTCCTATGTGCCAGGCACTAGACAAATTGCTGAGAATGTAGAGATTGGTATCCAACTAGCTTAATTCTAAGGGACTCTAAAAGTCTACTGAAGGATAAGAAACTATATAACATTCTGTGGCAGGCATAACAAAGTTCTGTGGCAACAGAGAAATGGTAACAATTATTTCTGAGGGAGTCAAGGAAATCCAGGAAGAATTCATACAGGCAATAAGATCTAAATTAGAATGTGAACCTGGAAGAGTAAGTAGGAGCCCAACAGAGGGAAGTGGAGTAAAGAGTTCCAGGGAATGGAAAGACCTCAAGCAAATGAGAGTATTGAAATCTTTTACTATTATTATACCACTTTCTATTTCCCCCTTCAGATTATCAATGTTTGCTTTATATATTTAGATGATTTGATGTAGAGACTATATACATTTATTTTTATTATTGTATTAAAACTTTTATTTCTTGATAGTTTGTGCCTTAAAGTCTATTTTATCTGAAGTAAAGATACAAACTGCTTTTTTAAAAAAAAGACTATTGGCAACTTAGAGACTGAAACCCTGTCTCAAAACAAGGCAGAGGCAAGGATATAGCTCAATTAAAAGGTACTTAGCTCAATCCCCAGTACCACAAAGAGATGAGAGAGAGAGAGAGAGAGAGAGAGAATATGACAATTGTTATCAGATATTTTTCTAAAGTCTTTACTTTCAGCCTATGTGTGTTCTTAAATCTAGTCTTGTAGACAGTACGTACATAGTTCACAGGCATGATTTCTCTTGGGACCTTCTGTGTGGGAGGTGATGGCAGGACCATGGACAAATTGGAGAAGAGCTAAGTCTGCAGAGAAGTAGAACTAATTTTAGATCTACACCTGAAAGTATAATTAGCAGGCTTGCTACCAGCCTTTTCAAAGCATCTTTTTTCAGTCTTGAGTTCCATTAGGGCATCCCAACTTCTTGCCTAGGCTTCAGAGTCTCTTTGAAGCCATTTTTGTCCATGGGTGGTTGCCAAATTAATATTTCTATGGATAAATGAGACTGAACTCTGTTATCCTACCACGTTGCTGATGTTACTGTAGTATGTATAACATGATAGTGGTAAGTGCTAAGGAAAAAGTAAAATGGGGGTAGGGTTGAAATTTTATCTAAGTGGATAAGGAACACCTCAATGAGAAGGTGACTGTTGAGCAGAGACCTAATGCAGTTGAAGCCTAAACCATGCATGCATATGTATGTAACACTGAGCAATTGCAGCAGAGCCAAGCTTGTGCTGTGCCTGAGTTATGTGCATGGTGATGGTGGAGGAATAGTAGATGAAGCCAGAGAGTAGAGGTGACACACAGATCATATAGATTAATTTTTGCAAGGATTTTATTGAAAGTAAAATGGCTTTACTGTAATGGATCATCATTTGTTCTCAAGACCCTCCTTCCTTTCCTTTTAGTATTTTCAATTAAATTACATAATTAATGTCTTGGGAGCATCACTGTGGTTGATGTAGAAATGAGCCTGATGATCAGAAAAGGGCATACACAAAGGCATAAATTTTAAGGTCATTGCAATAATCTAAAAGAGAGGGTGGTGTTTAGATGAGAGGGGCTGTAAATGGAAGGAATGAGTGCTTGTATTCTCAATAGATTTATAAAATTGAGCCAAGAGGATTCACCAATATATTATACATGAATGTGAGATAAAGAGGTGGATCAGGATGAGAACAAGATCTTTAGTCTAAGAAGCTGTGTTAGACCAGCCTTATCTGTGATACCAATATCTTCACTATTTTTGCCAAAGCCCAAGCTCCAGGTGGCGAGCTTTACTGTGAAAACCTGCTGATGCAGGAAGTACAAATCCAGTCCAGACCTCCGAAAGCTTCCATAAAAGAAAGCCTCTAGGTTTTCATTAATCAAGAATTATGCAAAGAAAAGTCAGGGCTGTAGACTCATTGGACTGATGTGGTCTAACACTATTCAATGTATGTCTCTGGATAATTATGATGCATTGAAAATCATTCAGAACTTAGAGCTAAGAAGTCCTAGGTTCTGATCTTGACTCTACCAACTGGCTCTGTGCCCCTTTGGGCCAATTTATTTACAATTTCTGGTCTCATTTTCCTCATTTGCACAACAAAGACAGAAATACAACTCTGACTTTTGGAGTTTCTAAGAAGCATAAATGAGACAATATGTATGGATGTTATTTCTAAGGTAAATGCATGAAAATGCACTAAATGATTTGCTGTTTGCAATCATTTTTGCTCCTCCATATCTACTCTCTACCTTTGTTTACCTTGCTATGTCTTGGAAAATTAACCTATATAGACTACATCAAAAGGTTATCTTTTTCTTGATAGGTTCATCAAATGAGGTGTCCTAGCAGGAAATGGGAAGGCAGAAGAAAAATGAGCCAGTATGTCTATTCCCCTTATCTCTGTTATCTAAATCACTGTGAGCTGGCTATATCTCTTATTGATTATACTTCCAGCTAAGTGTTTCACTCTATACTTTTCTTTCTCTGCTGATTCTAGTAACTGGTCCCTCTTTTCAATTCTTCAGGCCTAAGGATGATAAAGTTATCCTACTGTTAATAGCTTTATGATAGGTGTTACACTATTCCAGTGAGATCCCTGTCCCTTTTTGGTAAATAGTGCCTTCTATTTCACTCTCATTTGTTTTCTAACCTAACTCTGCTATTTGTTTTCTGCCAAGTTTATGACACAATAGTCATAGTTTGGGCCTTACCTTTTGTATTCAGGGTATTATCTTGCTTTTAATTAATGTTTTGAGATAATAGTAAATTCTTCCCTACTGGCCATTTCTGTGGTGGCTAGGTCTAGGAAAGGGGACTTTACTTTTCAGTACATACTGCTTATAGCAAAATTCTTGAAACTTCCCTCAATAAAATATTCTGAATTTTGTGATTTTGGGAGACCATAAATAAGAAGTAAAGAAGGTGGAAACTGATCACTCCTCACTCCATTCTACTTTGGAGTTTTGGCTCATTCATGGGAAATTACAAAACTTGTGCCTCAAGAGACTAGTGCTCTGGTATATGAAGATTTATGTGGACAATTATATAATCAACTTAGAAGTATAGCCAACCAGATGGGATTTTTCCTTATATCTAGATAGATTTTTGGTCAATTTTGACCAAGTCTGCAAGATACTATCACATTTAAGACATGGCCTACCTTGCAGATCTCCTTTTGGGCTTTGGGAATCCAAGGGTTTACATCCCCGGAAGGCAGCATGTCCTTCAGGCCCTGAATGATTTGAGATTTGAGGGGTAAGCGTAGCCCAATCTTCTCATTCAAGTAGAGCTCACAGATTCTATCACCCAGCAGGCGAAGAAAGAGTGCCTTCCCACTCTTCTTGTTATTCATCAGAACCCTGAGAAAATGTTGTAGATCCTGCCAAAGGTCCAGGAGTTGAGTTTCTACCTTCAAATTAAGCTTCTTCAGGTAATCCCGGAAAGGACACCCTGCACAAGCATCAGCACACAAGGCCCAGTGGGTATACACCAGGGAGAAGCTTTGATTGATGGCCTTCTTGATTATTATGCGAGAGGGGTGATGAATGATGGAGGTGGAAGTTCTCAGGTGGGTGGAAAACTTTGTCTCAAAAAGGTCCTCCATATGGACATGGCACTTATACTTCTTCTTCACACTAGACTTCTTGACACAATGACTATCCTTTTCCAGGGAACTGATTGTTCTCTCTTTAGAAGAAGGTACTTCTAGGGAAGGCATTTGTATAACCATCTTCTCCTGAGAACTTGCCTCCTGTGAGGTGCTGATATCTGGCATGAGGTCCAATTCCAGAGACCAAGAAGTGTGATCTGTGAGTTGCCATATCTTCCTCTTGGCTTTCTTGCTTGAGTACTTGTTTTGGAAATGGAGGGATTTCTTGATGCTCATGTTCAGAGGGAGCCCTCCCATATGGGTATAGCAAAAACTGCATAGGCGAGTCTCATATTCTTGCATCAGACCATAGCATGCTCCCTCACTGGCCATTGCCATCTTAGCATGGGTATAAAAGTTGGGGAGCCAATAGCTCTGGAGTTTGAACAGAGCTACTTTCTGCATGTGACTTAGAGTCTCCCTCCTGGTGGTTGACTGGTTGGGATGCCAGCTACAGAGGTTCAGGAGGGACTCTAGAAAATATATGAGAAGAATACAAATTATGTGATGATTGCAATGATAATGAGACAGACTTTCAAACCTTCCCAATTGTTTTAGTGTGTAATTTAATTAGTTCCTCAAAAAATTATGGGAAGTGAACAGGTAAAAATATAAGGACAATGTTCTGCAGTTTGCTTAGTATACAGTGATCCTTTTCTCTGATTATATTCCTTCTTCCCTATAGAAATAAAGAACTTGATGTGATTCCTTGAATACTTTTGAGGCTATTGAATGTTATGGTAAAAAGGAAAGCAAAAAATACAAGAAAAGGTGCCTAAGCACAAGAGAGACATGACTATGTAGTTCTGGCTGCCGTTGAACTCACTATGTAGCCGAGGCTGCACTGGAATGCATGTGGATCTTCCCACCTCAGCCTCCTGAGTGCTCAAAATATGAATTATGAAGGGATGCAAACATTCAGTCTGTAGCAAGAGGACCCCTTGTCCTGTCACTGTGGAGCCTATGGAGCAGTTTGTGGATGAAGATGGCTTGCCAGAGAAGCTAATGCAGAAAACTCTGCAATATCATTTGCCCATCCGTTGGAAACTGGATAAAGAAGTTGTAGTTTTTCTATAAAATGGAATATTACTCAGCCATAAAGAACGAGAAAATAGATTCATTCATAGGAAAATGGATACATATTGAAGATATACTCCTAAGTGAAATAAATAAGTCACACATGTGTAAATACCGAATAGTTTCCCTGGTGTGAATAATCTGCAACAATGCATAAGATTCTAATAAGATTACTGACATTTAGAAATGGGAAGAAAGGAGCTAACGGTGTAGGGAAGGTGGGATGGATAGGGGAAGAGTAAAAAGGGAAAAGAACAAAATGTGAGAGAATGAAAAGATGAAAATAAAGTGTTTGTAGATGGGGAGGGGAGGAGGGGGGTGAAGGGAGGGCAGAGGTAAGGGGAAAAAATGATAATCAAGACTTGTCATGTAGAGGTACATGATCCCAACAATGAATGCAACTGTACTGTATCCCTAAAATGTACCAATAAACTCAATTAAAGCTGAAAAAAATAATAAAATAAAAAATAAAAGGAAAACTCTGCAATATCATAAGGAAAGAGAACAGGCACCATGATTTGCTTAACCTGGGACATTTAAATTTGAGTATACATCTTGATGTAAGGCGCTTGATGAAATGGGAAAGCAGTAACATGAGCAGGTTGATAGAAACATCAGAGAAGCCAAAGAGAAACTGGAGTCAGGATGGAATCAGCTAAGCATGAGCACCAGTTAATGCTAATAAGGCAAGATCTAATGAGATGTCAGGAAGAACTCAGAAACCAAAAGCTGCATAAATGGAAGCCAATGCAAAGTAGACATGACAACATCATTGTTATGAGGAAGAAATGATCAGACACAGAACAGGAGGACTTGAGATGACAGCAAGAAGGCTTTAAACCAAACTATGTGGAAAATTGTTTTTAGAAGGCTCACTGAGTAAACAACCTCATATCCAAGATCCAGGTTTCCTGAGGAATCTAAATTAGTGTCCAGAAGGTTCAGTGATAGTTTGGTTTTACAGCATAGCAAAATTTATGGAAGAACTGGTAAAGTATTACTCTCCCACATTGCTCCCTTGGAGTTTCTAAATCAGTTTAGCTTTAGTCAACAGAGGTATAAAGCTTTATTGTTTCAAATATTAACTGACCTTGATCAGTGGAATCAAATTTGGCCTTTTATTTAACCAGCCATTTCTTCATGTCAGTCTCTTTTTCTACTTCCTGTATGGGTACTGATTCCCTCACTCCTTGAATTTAATTGTAACTTCTTCTGATATGACATATATAAAACTCAAAATAGAAACTCTAGCTAATAATAAAATTTCTTTAATTAATGCAGACATAAAAAAAACAAGAGAGACATACACAGGAATAAGATTCTTCAGAATTATAAATGACCAAAGAATGGGATTTGTACTAAATAATTTGAAGAAGTCAAATCTTTTAAATAATAGTCCTTACTAGCTCAGATTTTAAAGTTATCAGTTCTCAATTATTTATATGAATAGAGAGGAATGTGTCTGATCCCAAAAAGCAGATCTTCTGGAAAAAAATTGAATTTAGCTATGGAATGCCACATCATTTATCAAACAAACGGGAATGAATTTAATATTCTAGAGAAGAGGTCAGCAAATTTTTGTGTAAGTATATATCTTGGGTGTTGTGAATCACATATAATTTCTGTTGCATAGTTTTCTTCCTTTTGTAATCTTTAAAAATTAAAAAGTTATTTGTTTATAGGTTAAATGTGCTGCATTTTACCAATGGGCTGTAATTTATTCTATAGAATCCTAATTTTGTAATAAATGACAAAGTTGTGTAAGTTCAGAGATTTTTTATTGTCTTGTTTAATTCCTCTTTACCCATTCCAGCCAATCTTCATTGGCAGGTAACATCTCAGAAGGAGATAAGTAACAGCCTAAAATCTGGTCTCTTACAACCTTTCTCCAGTTAAGGGCTGAAAGTCCCACTGGTATCCCTAATAACTACTAGATGGAATAGGCAATAGTTTGAAAAGCAAAAGACTGGAGAATATAGGATACTACTTTGACTTTTTGGTCACTAAAAATTTTGCTTCAAATTTACTTTATAATCCTTACTGATGTTCATGTTGCAGAGAGTTACCACCCTGGACCCCTCCTGCAGGTAGGTGGCCTTCAGCATGAGAAGGAGGGACAGGTAGTAGTTTCTTACTTCCAGGTCCATCTCATCTATGCTCAGGATCTTCTCAGCAAGGATCCAGAAATCCACCAATTCTTCACCTACATATCAGACAAGATAGGCACAGAGTTGCACACTTATCTTGCCCCTTTGGTGATTGTGTATGTATGAAGCTACTCATATCTCCTGCCAGTCTTCCCTATGATATCAAACATCATTATTAGTCATGTGTTTGGATTAAGATATCATTTCTAGGAGAGTTGTAATGCAGGGGAGGATGAGAAGCATTGGATGAAGGGACTTAATGAATAAGGGCCCTTTGTGGCTTTTTGTTGCTGTTGTTTTTGGTGGTAGTGTTGGTGGTGTTAGAAAACTCATTTTAGGGAAACATGCAAGACTGTGAAGGGCCAGGGATTCAGCTCAGTGGTGCTGTCACCTGCCGTAAAAGTACAAGGTCCAGAGTTCAATCCTGGTACCAAAAAAAAGAAGAAGAAAGAACGAGAAGGAGGAGGAAGAGGAAGAGGGAGGAGGAGGAGGAGGAGGAGCAGGAAGAGGAGGAGGAGGAGAAGACCATTGTGAGTGTGGATTATGAGATATTTGAGCTTTGTTCAAAAAAATGAAGAGTGGTAGAAAGATCAAAGACCTTGAGGAGACTGTAGGGCTCTGGAGCCAAAACATGCCAAAGGCTACATTCCCTATCTTACAGTTGTCCTGGGACCACACCTTTGAGTGACAAACTGAAAGTCATAGACTGTCCAGCACCCTTTTACCGGCTCCCTTGAGACCCAGGGTTTCACCCCTAAAACCTGAACCTGTCTTCAAAGAAAACATATCATTGAGCTCTCCATGGGGCTCCATGCAACCTAGAAACTTGCAAAGGCCCCAGGAAGAACTTCAAGAACCCACCTGCACTGCCCTTGAGGTAGGAACAGAAGCGCCACATTCCTCTGACCCCGCCAATGCATTTCTCCAGTAGCCACTCATCTGCCTTTTTCCATCTCATCATCTTGGCTGCCGTGATCAGAGAGATAATTAGCTCTTCCTCCTATCTGTCTCTCAGCCTTACACACAGCTAGACCTTGATTTGCTCAGTGTGAGTGAGGGAAAATGTTGGCCAGTTAGATGAGTGGGTCCTGACCACGTGGTGCTTTTGGAGTTAGGCACTGAGCCATCCAATGATATGCGACAATCTGCAGCTCAAATATACCCTCCAACCAAAGTGCTTTCCCCTCTATAGTCCTCACTTGACAATTATTTTGTCCTTAGAGTGTATTTTAATCCAATTTTATCAATATATGATATATCAATGGGGTAGTTTAGAATAATATAGTAGGAGGATTTGTTACATTTCACTCCATATATCGTGGTTGTTTCCAAACCTTAATTTTGTTCCAGGTAGAACACACTTAGTTTCATGTGGCTAACGAGCTAAAATTTACCAACTCAACCCCAGATAGAAATTTTACTTATCTTTCAACAAATATGTATTACATTCCTATTAAGTGCCAGGTACCATTCTATGTTCTTGCCACACATCAACAAACAGAACAAAAGTTCCTGTCCTAAGGAGCTTATATTCTTGTGAGATACAAACAGTAAGAATAAGCACAATAAATAAGTACATTATCTAGTAAGATTGAAGGTTATAAGCACTACATAGAAAAGGAAAGCTGGGTAAAGAATATTGGGAGTGCTGTGGGAACAGAGTAAATGAATGGGGAGATGTGGTATTAAATAGAATCATCAGAGCAGTTTTATTGAGGAAGTAAAATTTGTACTGTCCATTTCTCTCTCTTCTGTCTTTCAGAACACTCCCAGTGAATATGTTAGTTTGATAGATTGTATCACACAGGTTTCTTAGACTCTGTTCATTTTTTAAAACCTTTTTTTCTTTCTCTTCCTTGGACTTGATAATCTCCTCTCACCTATCTTCTGGCTGCTCTAATTTACCTCTGAATTCTTCCATTTTCATTTCTGTTACTGTAATTTTCAACTCCAGAATTTCTTTTTTGGATTTCTATCTTCTTGTTGATATTTCCATTTTATTTGCATATAATAGTCTTAAATTTTCCCCATTGACTTTTTTCTTCTTTTATATTGGTACATTTTAGGTATACATAATGATAACATTCATCATTGAAAATTTGTACTTGTACATGATGTATCTTGCTTCTTTTTTTTCCCATTCCCCACCCCTCCCTTTAACCCCATTGTCTTTTATTTCTTGGAATAGCTTAAAGACAATTGTTTTATCTGGTAGACCTACTGTCAGTCTTTTTCAGGGACAGTTTTTTTTCCCTTAAACAGGCAAACTTTCCTGTTTCTTCATATGCCTTGTGACTTTTCGTTAAAAACTAGATATTTGAATTTAATAATATGGTAACTTTAAAAATCAGATTCTTGCTATTACCCAGAATTTTCTGATTATTGTTGTTCATTTTGTTGTTGCATGCTGCCCAGTGCCAGGGATCAGCCTGAGGTATAAACTTCTGTCTTTTCAGGGTTTTCCCAGCTTGTGCCTTTCCCTATGTAAAGATAGTCACCTACTAAGTTTACCTGTATGTGCATTTGCATTTGAGTACCTTAATCCTTAATCTCTTCCTCTTAAAAGGGAAAAAATGTATAAAGTAAAGGGGAGAGGATGCCAGATTTTTTAATACTTACACCAATGGGAAGATACTACAAAAATGGCTACCTATTTCTTGTCTGTGCTTCTGTCATCAGAAACAGCAACCAGAAATTAGAGCACAGGTCCCCAGTATTTGGAGAACAAGATCCTCTTTGATCACTCTATTTCCCACAAGCTGTGTGCAAGCTGTTCCCTGGTCTAGGGTTGTGACAGTTGCCTGCCATAGGGGTAAGATTGGAGGATAGGCAGCTACAATTGTGCAAAAAGCTAAAGTTATATTAAAACAACTATAACTTACTGTCTAAGCCTTTCCCAAAGTTATAAACCTCAAGAGACTCCAGAATTCCAAAAACAGTTACAGGATATATATTCTGTTAATGCAATTGCTACCTAGATTTGAAACAAATTCCTGGTGCTTCCTATTCTGCCATATTCCTAGAATTCCTCTCCCAATTATATTTTTGTTTTTATTCTGACTATTTAAAATGTTTTGTATTTATTACTACATATTTGCAGTACATCATGATTACATTCCTCATGGGGAATTCTTACATAACATATCTTAATTATTTTTTCATCTCCCTCTCCCCACTTTGTTCTTCTTACTTTTTCAAAAGATCAATCTGCCTGTTTCCTATTGTTTGTCTTTTATTTTGCTCTTTACTTATATTTTGGATTTCTCATATAAGAGAATTTATGCAATATTTAAGCTTGTGCGTCTGATTTATTTTGCTTAGTGTTATGGTCTCATGTACATTTTCCTACAAATGACTCAAGTTTATCCTTCTTTTTTGAGAGAGTAGTACTTCACTGTTAAATAAATGCCACATTTTCTTTATGTATTCACCTATTGATGGACATATAGGCTGCTTTCAAGATTTAGCTGTTATGAGTTGTGTTGCTATAAACATAAGTATGCATGTATGATGTCTTTAACTCTTTTAGGGAAATACCTAGAAAGGGAATAGCAGGTAAAATAGATTCTATTTTTAGTTTAGTTTTTTTTTTTTTTTTTTTTTTTAGGAATCTCCACACTGATGTTCATAGTAATTATACTACTTTACATTTCCACCAACAATGCAGCTGTGTTTCCTTTTCCCAGAAGCCTCATCAGCATTTAGTATTTGATTTCTTGATGACAGCCATTCTTTCTGGAGTAAGATAGAATCTGTGTTGCTGTAATGTGTACTTTCATTTCTTTAATGGCCAGAGATTTCATACACTTTTTCATGTATTTATTGGTCATTTGTATTTCTTTTTCAGTTCTTTTTTTTTTTTTTTTTTTTTTTTGGCACTGGGGATCAAACTCAGGACCTTGTGCTTGTGAGTAGGCAGCAGAACCACTGAGCCAAATCCCCAGCCCCAGTTCCTCATTTTTTAATCAGATTTTTTATTTTGGAGAGACTAATTTTTTGAACTCTTTATATATTCCTGCTATTAGTCTTCTGTCTGAGGAATGTCTGGCAAATATTTTTTCATGCTCTGTAAGCTATCTCTTCACCATGGTGGCTGTTGCCTTTGCTATGCAGAAGCTTTTTGATTTAATATGATCCAATGTCCCAACTATAATTTGAAGGCTCTCTCTAACTGCTCTGAGCAGGAAAGCAAAAGCAGAACAAGGAGACCAATTAAGAAATTTCAGCACCCAGCTAAGTAATGGGGGCTGAGACCAAATAGTAATAATAAAGGTTGTAAATGTGCTTGATTCTTAGTATATTTTAGGCAGTTTTTACCATGCTTTGTGACTACCATTAATTCCATAATTTCTAGTTATAGTGAGATAAATGGCCTACCTAACCTGACTCCTTCTACCAATTTTCAGCTTAAAAGAAATTGCTGCAGCATGGATTGAGCCACTTAGATATTTCCAGATGCAGTTATTTGTGTCTTCCTGTAGGACTGATAGGATCATTATGTGATATGGTTTTCCATTTTTCTATATAACACACACACACACACACACACACACACATACACACACACATGTTTACCTCCTTCTGGAGACCTAACAAAGCTGATGAGTTCCTGACAAAGGATATAGTGGAAACACAAATTTGTTTTACAGAAGAAAGGTAGTCGGTATTTTTCCAACCAGGTCAGTAATCCTTTGTACTTGGAAATCTAGAATTCAAAAACATCGCAACACAGAGATAAATTGAACTGAACTGTTAAAAAAACAACTTAGTTATGGCCATTACATAATCTTATGCTTGTGTTGTTTGGTTGGAAGGAGAAGTGTGTTGATTAAAAATAGTACGTAAGGAGAGTAGAGATTTTAAATGGGACTCATAAAGAAGTAAAGTGCCAGGGATTTAGCTCAGTGGTTCCACTGCCTGACTTGCAAGCCCAAGGTCCTGAGTTCAATCCCCAGTACCAAAAAGCAAACAAATAAAGAAGTAAATAGATTGGTAGGAAGTAAAAGCTTGATCATTTTTCAAAATTTCTTTATTGCTGGGTAAATTTGTTTAAGAAAAGATTAAAGTTTTATTTGACAGAAGAGAAAAAGAAAAATTTATGGTCTATGGTATCAGGTAATAACTTTATTTAACTTGCTTCTTTTCAAATACATATAAATTCTCTCAGGCCCCTCACACATACTATTGTTGAGAGAATAGGTTGTATCAGAGGAATCAAGCCACTGGAGAAGGGAGAAAAAAATTTAAAACTTGTAGTTTCAAAGTTACCTTAGGGAATCTAAATATAAGAATTAGAGTATGGTATCACTTGTTAGCTCTGTAAAACTCACAAAAAGTTATCTTATTGTGATCATGGCTTAGAGTGATCATTATGATACCACTTAAGGGAAAAGTGAGGACAATGTTATGGCTTGATCTAGATATCACCCCCCCCAACTTCATGCAGTCATAGGTGGGACTTTTCGGAGCTGGCTGGATATAGGTTTGTGATACTGGGATTGAGAATGTGTGGTATTGAATTAGTGCACTGATTGGAATTACCATAATTGTGGGTTGGGTTGCACCACCCAAAAGCTGAGTAGCTAGCCTAGATGGGATAGCAGGGAAAGGCAGACTTCTGCTGCTTTGCTGCCCACTGCCATCTGCCCACCATGTCATGGACTGTTTCTCCCCACACTGCCCCTCTGCCCTGCCACCCTGCCTTCAGCCAACTATGGACTGAAACCTCTACAAACTGAAAGTGGAAATAAACTTTTCTTGGTTTAACTTTGGGTGTCTTGTATTTTGTCTCAGCAATGAGAAAAGTAAGACAAACAGCATAGGGGGAAAAAGAGAAAAAGAAAGATAAAAGGAAATGAAATATAGAAGGAGATTTAAAAATACATGTCCCTGAAAGAGAAAGGTAAATTTGTCAACAGAAATAGCAGAGTGGCATCTTATCTTAATCTGTATCTTATAATACATATCTGATCATAACTATGTTGCCTATGGGCTGCCACTTCCTATGCTACACCCATGGCAGACACTGTAAATCAGATTCCAGACTCTTTCCTGCTTAGATATGGTCTCAAAGTTCTTCTCAGCAATGTACTTCAAGTATATATCTACTATCTAATAAGCACAATAGACATGAGGAATGAATTCCTTGTGCTATGACTACAATATAAAGGAAATTATTCAATAACAATTTCTTACCCAAGAAATGTAAAAAAAAAAAAAATGCCTACCTAGTTTGATGCTGTTTGTTCTAGTCAATTGCTTTATAGTTCCTGAAATTCAACTCCCTCTTCCTCTTCCCCAAGCCATCTGCCATTGAAAACTCTTACTCACCAAGTGATAAGGTATCTCTGGCCACAAGCTCCACTGTGAGTTTTCAACAGTATAGGATGGTGTCTGACCAAAGACCTGCAAAAGAAAACAAGGAAACAGCAGAGGAAGAGTTGCTCTTCATGTACATGTCATAGTACATCTGCAACCACAAAGAGGGGTTCCACTGCTTCTCTGTTTCAAGGAACATTCTTAAATTTATTCTGTCAATGTAATTATTGCATTGCAAACATTTACTAATAAGAATTTATTCCACCAAATAAATTTTCTGTGACAAAATAGTCCAAATATATTGAACTACAAGACTTATTTAAATTTTGGCTCCACTCTGCCTACACCTGGAAGCTACCCTGTGTGCAAAAGATAAAGCCTTTTATATTATAATGCATTTACTTTGTATATTGCATTATTCACTTTCCCAATGAATATAGAGTTAAAGCAAAGGCCTAAAACCTTTCCCTAATAAGAAATTGTTTTGGATTTCTATAACCTTTGAAAGTAATGAGCACTAAGATAACGAGGACCTGAGTACAAATTACATGTGGAAAATTTAAAAGTATCAAAAATTGATGTTTCTTTTTAAAATAACATTGGCTAGCAATACTTTACTTTCTCTAGACTATCTGTATATAAGGGTTTTGCTTTTCTTGCTATTTAAACCCTAGCCTTTTCCTCCTCCTTACCCTTCCTTCCATACTTTTTCCTTAGACAGTTATCTGAAATGTACTTTGAAGATTAGGCTCCTGTAAACTTCTCTTGACACTTCCTGGCAGGAATGACCTCTTCCTCCTCTGTACTGCACTCCCATTGCTTCCTAGAAACTTCCACCATGTTGTTCATTAATTATTAGTCTCCCATTTGGTATTAGTAATATGTATATCCCCAGCACTGAGCCCAGGGCTGATGCAAAGCGAGGATCTGACAGGTGATTGTGAGGTGATACACTAGGTTTTCTCCCTTGCTGAAATTTCACCTTTTAATAGGTGCCATCCCATGGGAGAGGAGTAATGTGTAGAAGCACTGAGGTGAGCTATGGTTTGTAAGGCATCAACATTTAAAATGTTAGCAAATACTTAAACATAAAAAGATGTAGGCTTAGCCTAGGCTTTGATTTAAATACATTGTGATGTTTGAGATTTGTGTTAGTTTCACAGATTAAGAAAATACATAGATTTTGTTCCATCTAGCAGCTTAATAATTGCTGTGTGCTTAAACAGTCAGTAGAACAAAATGAATAGTCAAAGTCCATGCTCCACAAGAATTTGCAATCTAGACACACACACACACACACACACACACACACACACACACACACGAGAGGAGGGCAAATTGCCCAGAGACACAGACAAAGGCAGGAAGTTCCAATCAGAAGGTTCCAATTATAAGACTTAAGAATTGCTTAAGAAGAAAAGAATTTTGAGCAGAAATTTAAAGAATGGTTAAAACTGATAGGTGGAATTGTGGGGAAGGCAAGCCAGGCAGAAAACAAAGAGCCTAAGGAGCTGTCTAGGAGTTAGGGAACAGAAATGGCAGGTGTGTCAGTGAAGGTACAGTTGTAGTCACCACAGCACCGGGTATCATCAACAGACAGTGTCACTGGAAATAACTGGAGAGTCAAAAGCAGTTAAAGAAGGTAGAGATTTAGGGCTTGCTTGTATTAACAATAGGAAGCTCCTGAAGATTTTAGAGGTGGTTCTGGTTCACATTTATTTGCCCAAATTGATACAATTTTTGGTTTTAATAAAGAATTTGGTAATTTTTAAAAAAACAGAGAAGGGCCCTGAGCTCAGTGGGATTTATCATTTAGTTGCTTTTGTGTGTGTGTGTGTGGTTTTGGCTTTTTGGGTTTTTTTTATGTTCAGGGGATAAAACTCTTGAACTTGCACTTGCAAGGCATGCGTGGTACCACTGAGCTAAATCCCTGGCCCTTATTATTCAGTTGTTGATAAAGCATTTGGATTTAATTTTAAGAATGCTTACCGGAAGAGAAAGAAATGTGTTGAAAAAATCAGCAAAGATCTCATTCTCTAGCAGAATTATAAGATTTGTTGAACCAATGATCTCTATATGGGGAGGAAAACACAAAACAAAATAAAAACACCTATGAGTAGAATTGCATTCAGATTGAGAAAATGAAGCAATTTAACAGATCATTTTCTATAGTATGATGATGACCTTTAGGATCATCCAACTCAATCAACTTCCCCTTCTCTGGCCTTTTTTCAATACCACTGTAGTTGAACACTCCCAAGTATGGGGAGCTCACTATCTCACATGATTGCCTATTCCATTTATGAAGAGATAAAATGAATAGAAAGATGTTTTTCTTCCTATGAATGCATGCTCTACCTTTTTTATTTTTCAAAATTCTTCACTATGAAGTTTGACAGGCTTCTTCTAAGTCCTCTTATATAAGAGAGTGCTTACAATATTTACAAAGATAACACAGCTTTCTGCTTCTCTCTGAACTCTCTGACTAGTCTCTAAGCAACTCTTCAACCACTCTTTATATGGCCTCTTTTCCATCTGCTTCCTATTTCATTAGCTGGAGAGGTACTCACAACCCAAGCATTGTAAATGCTTTCCAGGGCAGAGCATCAGAGAACTATTGCCTATATTGTATGTTCTATTATTAAAATACACTATCTGGTGTCTTCAAGAAAACTGATGAAGGAAATTGTTTAGTTTTCTTATGCTATCAAAACTGTACTCTATTAGTGTAACTTGAAATGAAGTTAGCTTTGGAGGCTCTCACATCACATCATTAACTCCACCATACTTTATATTTTACCTTTCAGGAAACAAGGGCAGGATTTTTTATGTACTCCAGCAAAATTTTAACTGTTTAGTTTGGGCCCTACATTACAGACTGACAAGAGCTTTCTTGTATATTGACCTGGTCCTGCAATGTATTTATTCCTCTAGGGTTTGATCAGTGTTTTACCCAAATTAATTGGAGGACATAAATGTGGCAAGTCAGAAAGCCAAATATAGAGCCTCAGGTATCCAGGTGACCCATCTCAATTTACTGCAATTCACATCCTATGCTGTTTAAAACACAATGTTCAACTAGTGAAAAAGCTAATTACCTAATTACCCAACATTTCTCCATGATGCCCAAAGTTTACATTGAATGACTATAAAATGAACCTAAAATTAATTTACTAGAACTGTCAGTCTAGTCAAGTGCCTGATAAGGATAGTTACTGCCACTCACAATCACTAGAGTACAGTTTTTATAAAATAAGAAACTAAACAATCATTTTTATCATGTTTCCTGGTGACACCAGGTAGTTATTTTTCTTTAATAATAGACACAGAAACAGAAGCACAAACACTATTGTGGAAGCAGAGCTAGTGTCATTCTTGCCTTCTATTCCACATATATTATTTTTCTTCTAGTCTAGTGTTGCAAATTTGTGTGTGTGTGTGTGTGTGTGTGTGCACGTGCGTGCATGCACATGCTGTGTCCCTCACAGCCCTCTGCTCTTTTTACAAGCACTTCCTTACCCAATTAACCTGTGACAATGAGAGTCTCAAATCTCTTTTTTCAGACTAAACTTCTTGTTTGGCTTTAGTTTTAAGCATCTCTGTGCACACACACCAATGTGTTTAACACATTCAGGCCCCCCAACATGCTCTTTTTCTTACTCCAAATCTCAGTTACTAGAAATATCACTCATTCAATTATATTATCCAGAATACTTAGATTCAACTCTCTCTCTCTCTTAATTTCTCTTCCTTCTCTGACTCTTACATGCAATGATGGTCTATGCTGTGTAATTTCCCCCAGTATATATTTCTGGATTCTGTCTTCTCCTCCCTGCCCATGCCTTGTTACTTTCTTATTGCACTTGATCTTAGCTAAAAGCCCAAGAAGTGATAGTTACTCTTTTATTTCAGATCCCTATCAACTCTCTTCTAGACCACTGCATCAGTTTCTTAAAAGGTCTCCCTAGTTCCAATCTCTTACCCCTTCCAAATACCCTATACATTACCATCACAATATGTTGGTATTGTCATTGTTAAAACTCTTCAACAACTGCCTTAATGTCTTACAAGGTAAAGTCCAACCTTCTTAGTATAGAAGATTCACACTACCTAGTTTTGCCTTCTAGGCTTTCTGTCACTTTGTGTCATGATGTTTCAAGTTTCCAAGCCAAAACTAAGGCATTTCAGTTTCAGGAACATTACAATGTATTCTCAATTCAATCTCATGTTATTTCCATACCATTGCCTCTCAACTCCATACCTCTCAACTGCAAGTGGCTTCACAAATTATTAGTTATCTCATCTGGGGATTTAGTTCAGTGGCACGTCTCCTACTGCACAAGTGTAAGGTCCTAAGTTTGATCACCAGTACAAAAAAAAAAAAAAGAAAAAAAAATTGGAGAGCTGGTTTATGTATTACCTTCCTGGAGAACCCAGAATGGTTGAATCTACCACCATAGCAGATAGCTCACTACTTCCTTGTAAGCAGCCTGATCATATTTCATAACACAATTAACACATTTTATTGTTTTCCTTCATTAATTATGTACCTCCCCCCCGGACTGAACTCTATGAGAGGAGGCATTGTTTTTTCGTCTTTTTCCTCCTAAACTTGCAAAGTATTTGTACATTGTCTAAGATCTGTATAAGCTAGATGAATTTTTCTTTCAGGAGATTACCTTTTTATTTTATGAAAAAATAAAACAAACTTTCATAATGAAATAATAAGAGAATAACAAAAGTTAATATATTGAGTATAATTATCTTCAAAGTATTTACTAAGAGTACAAGACATTGATAAAAAAGATTCTTTTTTT